CAGGCTACTAGACTGCCCAGTTATCCAGATAGGAGAAGTTGGTTTTCTGAAGTAACCACCTAAGGGGTTAATTTATCGGACAATATAGCATATGAATCTCTAGTTTGGGGTCAAAACTCAAATTTTATTGGTGATCTCCCCACCACTCAATTATATCATCCATATTCTCTCACTTTTTAAGGAACACTGCCGCATTAAGGATCGAGTAGAACCTCCTTATAAGGGGCTGTGAATGTGCACTTTGAGAGAAACGGTGGGATTTTTCCTTTTATCAGGACATTTGAAGACCACATTTATTCCCATTCATCACAAAGATTTTTGTATTGACTGATATCCAGTATCATTTTAATCGAGTATCCTCAGTGCTTACAAATTGTCACATCTTATTGCTGTAATTATTAATTTACAATCGCCTTTTTAAATTTCTGTTTATGCTTCAATTTCTAGAGCACAAATAATGATGTCAATTTATTGATAAGAGCTTTGGATCGTATTCACTGTCGAGTACAGACCTTTAATCGGTCACTGTTAACATCAGTTACTTCTGTAGATTTTGAAGGTGTGCTATTGGATGATTTAAGTCCTGAATCGCTATCTATAGTGAATCGATTCTCTTTACTTACTAATCAGTTTTCAAACTCGGCTCTGGAAATAATTAATCAAGTTGCTCGAATGCAAACTACTTATTACTTTGATATATTATGCCAAAATGCAGTTGAATCATTTACGGATCTCCGACATAAACTGGCTAGTCATGGACTACAAACATCCAATTCAACTAATGAAGAAGTCAACAAAGTGTAAGCCAAGTTATTGATTTGTATTTAACGGGATTTCTTTTAAAAAGAATTATTTCAACCTTATAATATGTTCAGAATGATTGTTTCGATGAATCCTATCGACAATGAATATCAATCTCACGATTTATTGTGCCCCAATCGTTAATCAAAGCTAAGTCAGTGGTATCTGTTTCCGGAGTATCTTCATATGTCTAAAGGATCTGGTTACAACCTTTTACCATAAAGTAGGTCATACATTCCAAGGTAACCAAGTAGTCTTAAGCGTGCGGTAAGGAATACCAGCGTGATGTACTTTGATTGCAATCACTGGTTAGACGTCGATTGATATTTTCTACGGAGGTACTTGCTATTTGAGATGCCTAAGGTTATTAGTTGTTCATGGAAGTTTTGCTGTCAGCTAGTTGAATGTCAATTCTAACCGTACACAAACTAATTTCAGAATAAAATCCATCTTAAGCTGATAGATTAGTTTTAACCACTGCCTAGATTCACTGACCAGTAATTGACGATGCCTTTAATATGACAATCAAATGAATAGATTTAAACGGTTTCACATCCAAGTAGTCATACGGTTAAATGCTTGAAGATTAAACACAGGCTCTTATTAACATTCTTTCTTGATCCTGTAAATAATACTAACGTTTCCTCAGATATCTAAGGGGTATCACACTCCCATCATCACGTCCGAAATACACAATAAATGGCTGTGCTCCGAACTGCAGTTGTAGCGCAATGATAGCAATTTTCCAATCATTAGCCTTTGTTTTTAAAGTAAATGCAGAAGTTAATACAGTTCATTACAGTCTGTTTCTAAGTGTTTTGGATTCTTGACCTGATATTTATGAACCACTTCTAAGTAAATTTATACCCTTAAAGTTCACAAGTTATAAGGGTCAATTCCAAAGCTTCTCTTCACCAAAGCGTAACTGCTTTAGGTAACTATCTGTATGAACGTCTTATATAGGCATTTTTAATAGTCTCAAGAATCTGATCTTCCAAAGGTTTTAGTTCCTTAATTACTGGCACAGTTATTTTAGTAACTGGCTGGGTTAGCTTTATAAAGCATTTGCGGAAAACATCGTTATATCAACCGTTGATTTCTAGTTTGATGTCACATAAGAGTTTGTTTGGTTTTTGTGTTTCAGTAAAATCTAGGTCAATAATAGTGTTCTTAAGCAGTTCATAGGGGCCATGGATGTCAGTGCCGTGTTATATCTGTTCTATTCATGAGTTTGGGTACTTTGCCAACAGTGGTAAACAGACATATGTAAGAATATCACGAAAGCTTGCCTCCGAATAAGATAACTATTCTTTCGCTATAAGCTGCTGGAATAATATAATTTCAATTTCAAAGCTTGATAGTGAGTTAACACGGATTAGTTTTCGGGGTAGTAAAGTAAAAAAAATTAATAGTACCACGACATACTAATATTTACCAAAGGAGTATGTAGTAGATCAAACTTGACGTTTCAAGTCACGTATATCTTTTATTTTGTAGGAACAAGATTGGAAATAACAATCATCAACTTTCATCACTTTTAGATGCTCTCAGTTCGTCACTTGTTTCACAGTTGCGCAATGTACTAAAAGCGGAAGAGGTAGATATCTTTTTGTGTTTCTTAATTTTATTTAGTAATAGTATTATTTTTCACTGAAATTGCAGCTACTTTCTGAACTTAGCAACATCCATTCTTTGTTCCATCTTGTCACTCTGTATATCCCTTTTGCCGCCTTATTCGACTTTATTCCTGTTCTGACGATTGTTTGCGTTAAGGTACTCAGTCTTCAATCGTTAAGTTACTGTTATTCATTTCTCTTTACCTGCTAAGATTTGGATAGCCATAATGTATTGGTGATCGCTACACAGCAAATATAATTGTTTGCCTAATATTATTTTATTGATAACTATTTAATTTTAACATAATGTAAAATCTTGTGTTATAAACTCCAAGCCACAAATGATATGTGATATTAATTACCTGTCTAAAACTAATATAAGGTTAAAATCAGTACCGCGATTGTTTAAAGCCGAATATTTGAAAATCAGCTCAAAAACTGCCTAGGAGGCTTTATAAGGTGCAAAATATTTAGTTTAAGAAATTCCGCTTGATAAGTAACAGTCAAATTTGATGTATTTGTGGTTGTGGTTTAGGATTTGAATTCCAATTAATCAGAAGTTTGGCTTCTTATTTATTTTCATCTATCTGTATGTTATCAATTTGTATACGTTATTGTACCTTGCTATTCATGAAACTTCATATAATTACCAAGTTGCTGAAATATCTGACTAAACTAGTATTGTATCTTCCTTTCGTTGTAAATTGTTTATTACGGTTTATTTAAAAGCTCACTGGATTAATCACCAGAATACATTTTACTGGTTGTTTTTCAAGTTTCCTAGGTAACAACACTAATGCATCACCTTGTGCTACAACCCTTCAGCGATCGGTATATGTTGTGTATAGAGCATTTTTGTCTACCATCTGAATAAAGTGTTTATTAATTGTTAGAACAATCATGAAGTATCATTATTTATAAGTTGTTAATTTTACATAGTTACTATCTGATAATCTGTTTTATTTCTTTTCAGGCTTTCCTTAGTACTAATAGTACATTTTCTAGTAAACCACAATTTCGTAATTCATTTTGCATTGATCAAATTAGAGAAGGACTTATCGTTGGTTACTTAAATTTTCTTGTTCAATTTCTTAGTGATCTAGCTAAGGTAAATTCACTTTTATCGCATGTTTTTCATGTTTTAATTTTTTATATTTATGAATATTACTCAGATATGTTGTGTTTCAATTCTTATCTTTTCCCACTAATGCAGGAGGAAAGATACTGTAAAACTCGGTTAAAAAGTAACTGTTGCATATACTTTATCGACCACTTATTCATTAATTTAGTTTTTGCATCATACTATTGTGCTTATTTCTGATAATATATTTTTAGTCGCTAGTAGTCAAATCTTGGATTCTCGTTTTTTCCTTACTCTTCAACGAAACATATACCGTCATTTGTTGGTATTTGCACTAAAGTAATATCAACTCTTTTCGAAAGGATACTAAAAGGCCTTAGCTTGATCTCCTTCGTCAGCTGTTACTAAAATATTGTCAACTTGAGGTCAATTGTAATATATTATCTTCAGTAATAGATTCACTTGCTCACAGAAACCATCTCATAACTAGCCAATTAATATCGAGAACAAAACACATCAGTTGGTTACGATGATCTCAATTAGTGTTAGAGGTAAATGGACCCCTATCTACTCCCTGTTCTCCTTACCATGAAAGGATATGCAACATGTCCTTACCTTATGCTCTCTATATACGCTGAGGATTTTTATTTCTCGTTTCTTGTCTTGTTTTCTTATTCTTTTTTTAGACAGCTGTATGCAAAATTCCGGGTCCTATTTTACTAACACTTGGAAAATTATGTTTAATGTGGGCTGATTCTGGTACAGTTGGACATTTGATTTCTCTGGCCGACGATTTTATGCTTTTCGGTAATGATTATGTAATTTTGGTAATGATGATAGCGATCTCTAAAATTAAACGTTTTCAAGAAACTAAACTTCATTGGCCCCCATATGCCCTGGTACGACCGAGAGTGCGGAGAGTCCGCTCTCCCTCTCGAAATGCTCTCACATGGTCACGTGTATATAGCCTCTGCCAGGGAAGTCCTACTCACTGCCTTCTCGTGGCGAGGGTGTTGTTTACGAGATTGAGCGGACGAAAAGTGAATGTCCGGCGCTTTAACCGGGTTGGTGGACACGGGGGGTCCGCCTAGGGGAGTTGGTGCACATGGGCTCCAGGGTCCTGAGGTAACAAATAGTGTATGAACCAACTGTTGGCTACCATGGGACTGCATCTCCTTGCGATGCTCCACTGCCTTGTGGATCAGAATTTTAGGTCAAAGGCTCCTGTTGTGGCCCCCTAAGAAAACCACCTGCTTCAGTTTGGCCACCCGAGTAGTATCACAGCCCTCACACAAATTAAATGAGATTTGTGTTTTGCATATGTATTTGGTGCCTCCTTGTACCAATATTTATGTGTTCAAATAATAATAATAATAAACTTAATTGGTAATGGTTATTTGGTGAATAGTTCACTGAAGTAGTTTGTGACTTCTTGCGTAATGTGAAGACAGTTTTTAATCACGAATTGACTTTGATTGGAAGCTGTAGAAGATTCCAGTGTACTGAGTATGTGTTTCAGTTTACTCTCACAATTTTCTGTATTGTGCAGTCTCAATGTGTGGTGAAGTTCCTTAAATTTGAAATGAATCGTTAGTTGTATTCATATGTAAAATAAGTAAATGCAACGGAATATCTGCTTAATGCTTTTACATTCTATTTTATGATATGTTACTCATGAATTAAGGATAATATACGTTTGCGAAACCTAAGTTGATGCAATGCAACGTAAATTTAGATTTGACTGAGAACTTGATTATCTGAATTGGCGAGTTATAACTCAATAGAAAGGTTAGTCTGTTCATTCCTATTTGACATATATGTCACCTTAATCAGTCTATTAACCTAATCCTGAATAACAGTGATTATTCATTTCGTCTCATATAGACATACTGTGTACGTAGATTCTAATTATTTTATAGTGTGATTAGTTAACTGGCTTCATTGGGTAATGGATATGTTACATATGGCCGGTAAGAGTAGAGGATATTCGTAGGTTACTAGTATTTGATCATAGGTGTCCTCGAAACATTGCTCGTATATCCTGGGACTATCGAGTAAGTAACGCAGTTGTTAGGAAACGGGTACTAGGTGAGGATGGCAAATCAATTGATGACGTAGTGAAACTTCATCAGTTGAGATGGCTGGGACACGTGTTACGTATGCCCAACGACCGACTGCCTCGACGCACGATGTTCAGTGGTATAGGAGTAGGTTGGAACAAAGCTAAGGGCGGCCAGATCAAAACATGGCACAAATCCATGAATTCATTGACAAGTGGACTGAGTCATGTTGGTAGGTGTAGACTACCTGGTTGGGGACCGCGAGATGATAGCAACCGATGGTTAAAGACCCTGAATGACATGGCTCAAAATCGTTTGCAATGGTGTGAGCAGGTGCATCCACTCTTTGTGTTCTCCCAAATTTTGATCTCCTTATTCCTCCTTGTCTTTTTTTTGTCTTCCCAAATTTATTTCACTGTATTATACTCTTTAAACAACATCTCCAAACACTAATTTTCCCGATTGCTGCGTATACTCTTATTACCTCTACCACTACGGGATTTGAATCGACCACTGCATCTCTGTGCTAATGTGGTGTGGCAACTCGAACTGATGTACGTACGTACGAAGTTCTACGTTGTTACTGACTAACTGACTGGATATGTTGCATCAAATAACAATCTCATTGATCTAGGATCTGTGAATCCTCCAGATTGTCGACCGAATTTCCCGCAGTATGATCGATTTCTTATGATATTAATACTTTCCTTTACCAAATGCCATATGATTACGGTCAGTTTATTTGCTTGTTGGTTGTCACTTTTTTTTCAGGCTCACAAACAAAAGAATCAAAAAAGGAAGATTTTAATACAGAGAATGGTAACAGATCACTCACTACTCCAAAAGATGTATCAAATCGTTTCAGGTCTACTGGTAACGAGCTTCTAGTTGCTTTTGTTCGCTTAGAAGGTACAAATTTGGCACAACTGCTTCGAAAGAGTGTTGAAGCAAGGGATTGGCTGAAAAATTTGGAACCACGTACAGTTCGTTCTGCAGTTAAAAGAGTGATAGAAGATTTAGCATCACTAGATCAACAAGTACGTTAAATACTATTAATATTTAACACTAAATTTATTGTGATCATCCATTTTCATTTTACTTCACAACTTATTTATCGTTTATGCTTACAATATCTGCGTTTTTTTTAACTGTTGACTTGGGTTTTATTTGTTCATCAGTGTTTTTGGTGCCTATTTTCATCTCAATTCCAAGTCAAGTTCATATACTAATTTTTATCTGTGTTCATGTTTAGGTCAGCCAGCTGTTTTCATCAAATACTCGTAATCGTGATCGTATTTCTGATTCACGTTCCAGTCGTAGTCTACGACCTAGCACTTCATCACATCTTATAGACGCTACACGAACTGGAAGTTCAAGTCAAGGATTTCATTCTCCTGACTTAGATCCAACTCTAGCTACTCATTTACGCCGTTTATTTACGCAAAGAGTTGATATTTTTACTGCAGTTGACGCGAATCGGGAATCACTACTTTTGGGTGTCATTAAAATAGGTTTAAAGGTTAGCCAAGTTTTCAGTTTCAGTTGTTGCACTGCATATTTATTGTATGTTGTAACCAAGTATTATCACTTTGTAAGATTTGAAAAATTTGTCAATAAGGTGAGTAAGAAATAGTGAATTCCACTATCCGTTTTCTTTCGATAGGGCTTTACATAAAGTTTTTATAGTGAAATTTAGAATAGTTTAATAGTTAAACTACAATTCAACAAATATAATTCATTTTTCCTGGAAACATCGCTGTAATCTAGTCAACTTTTCACTCGATGAAAGGAAAGTTGATAAATGCTTGTGTACTCATCAACTTAATACGGATTAACTCAATCGATAATCGGTATTTATTTTCATCTCTTTATGTGACAATCATTTTCTTGTCATAGCTTGTTTTGTTCAACTGTATGTTATGAAGTAAACCTTCCAAAAATTAGTAACTAAGTAGTAGTTGGTCTGTGAATATTAATTCGAAATTTGAATCTTATATAACTTTGAATAGTTTTGTATTTCACCGTTAAGCACTGGGTTATGGTGTTTTACCACTACGAAACTCATTTTGTTATTAGTTATCAACAAGTCATTACCTAAGTATTTCCAGAGACATTGCCAATTTCGTTGCTTTTTACTTCTCTAAACTCTCAATCACCAATATCTAAATTTTTTTATAGTTATGTGCAAAATCAATCCATCAATTTATTGATTGTGTAACTGAGTTGTGTGAGCAGGTTCAGATTATTAGGTTGGGGAGGGATGAAGTGACCCAGGATCGAAATGGGGCAACCTATAACCGTGTTGTTGAAAGCAGATGATCTTACCAGTCTCTTCATTCTCGTTCCTTTCTCCCAGTTCATGTCCCCCATGATGGGTTCATACCGGGTGTTTTTTCTTCTCGGCGTCGGCGTTTACATCCTCCATCAAAATAGATGAGTTTTCCTGATCATTTCTGTAAGTCTCTCATAAAGCTGATCTTTATCTTCGCCATGGGTTTCTCACCCCATAAGTGCTTCTCATGTTTCTTAGGACGGTATCATTGGAACTCCTTGTGTGTGGAGCGTTTTCTATTTCATGACCACCATACCATAACAGCTCTTCTGAAGTTAGTCTTTTTTCATTCAGATTGTATTCATTGGTTTTCACTTACTCTAAGCATGAATAGTTTGTAAGGAAATTTGAATGACCCTCCTGGTTTTCCACATTGTATGGGCATCCCATGTACTCATACTATTTGTTTCTCTTTGCTGTTTCAAGCATAGATCATTGACAACTTTTCTAATGTTAGACTAAGTGATTGAAGGTTCGGATGTCAGTTTTTTATAGATCTAACTTGTTAAATGGCAAAGTGTATGAATTGTTCATTCAGCTTCCACAACCACTAGCTCTTTGAAACCTTTTATATTGTTCCACTGAGCTATATTGTTTTATCGGATCATTGAAACTAACTTACTGCTTCTCAACTAATTTGCTGTTAAACAATGATACGTCAAAAATACTTCGCTTTTTAATTCATTTACTTGTTTAATTTGGAATGATCTAGACTTTGATAGAGTGTGCACGTTTACAAACATTTGGTCGTTACGGTCTACAACAAATACAAGTTGATTGCCGATATTTACAAATTCATTTGTGGCATTTCGTAAATGATGAAAAGTAGGTCGAATTTTTTTGAACTGATTAATTAATTAATTATTTTCTTCTCATAGTAAGTCCAAGGTTCTTTGATATTTAAACGAACATCGATCATGTTTCTATAACGTTATCGACAAATAATTTTATAATTCATGAGGATTTCAAGTAGTTTGGATGTAAGTAACGCAGGCATTTCTAGATTAGCAGAACTGAATATATGTGTGCTAACACTAAATAGTACACTTTCCCTACGTGACCTGCGAAATTCTGATGTAATATGAACCATGAATGTTCTGGTTCTGACCAAGTTATTGATTTGACGTGTTCTGGAACTTTTTGATGCACACTGATACTATTCACACTTGTTTACTATGTCTTTGAATGTCCATTTCTGGCCATTATGCGTAATTGCGTGCAATTGATTTCATTCTGGTTATTCCTGGATGTTAAGTATGAAATTGTTTAAATACTCTCTTCTGTGATGCTTGTGGTATAACCACAAATTTTCCAAACATAAGGCAGTTTCTAACTGTACATAGAGATTGCCGTTGTTGAAATAGGTGTTTTAGTTTTTCATCTAAAGACGATGGCCATTTATTTTGAAGGTAATGAATCGCTTGTTGAAGGATCGAGTCTTGTGACATCTGTTACTTGGCAAGCTGCTGTGGGGAGGGGTTATCACTCCATCCATGAAACGTTTGTGCAATCAGCGACACAATCGTCGTTAGTAATAGGGTAATTACTTATTAAGCGTGATATAGTGTCCGCCCGACAAAGATCTTCTGCCCTATAGTACTGAATATCAAAGTGATCTCGTAGCAACGTCATCTCCCACCTCTGCAGTTGGTTTGCCGAATGCGCTGCTATTTCGAACCTCGAGCCAAAAACAGTTGGTAAGGGCTTGTGAGTCGGTCAGCAACGTGAAGCATCTTCCATACAACATTTTGTGAAAAACAACCGCTAACGCTTTTTTTTCGATCTGTTTGTAGCATTTCTCTGTTAATGTTAGTGATCTGTTGCGTGCATTACTACTTTTTCCACTCCATTTGGAAATTTGTGTGAAATTACTGCCCCCCACACCACATGCAGACGCATCTGCTGTAACCATTAATGGCATTGTAGGATCGTAATGGGTTAGTAGACGGTGGGATCTAAATAGTCCTTCAATTCTTTGAAAGATAGTTGACACTGCTTTGTCCATTCCCGCTTACTATTCCTTTCAAGTGGATGATTAAGTGGTGTTTTCTTTCCATGCAGGGGTGGAAATAATGCGGAGTAATAACTGACGAGTCCGAAGAACGAACATAGAGTCGGTAGATTGTGTGGAACAAGTATGTTCTTCATAACGAATATGGAAATAATAGGTCAGAGAGGTAGTCTTTTTTGAAGGGGCTGTTGAAGGAGAAAGATGGATACGCCACAAGAACCAGATACGTAAAAGACTCATCAGAAGGAACCAAAACAGCTTTAGAAACTATCATTGACATTTCTAAAGTTTCAAAAGAAATACCAAGAACGATACAAGGCGGAACAGAAGTAATATCACAGGAATCTACAGAAAAGTTATTACCACGGAGAATTAAATAACTACGAACGAAGACCGTCAAATTTAGAAGCAGTGAAGGAATTCCCAAAACGGAGAGGTGCTAAGGAGGTCATAAGAATAGTCAGATTTTATTAGAAACGCTAAAACTTCATCTGGAACGATAACCTCTCTCACATTTTCTGCCAATTCGATCCCTCATGACCTTTGCCCACTGATCAATTACAGTCCTAAACATCAGTAGAACGATTCAAACAAACAATACTAAATGAAATTAAAATTTATTGTTAATTAGATCATTCTGTCTTTGTTCTATTAACTGAGATCTGAAAAATGAACTGTCATTGCTCGTAATGAGTGTACATTTTTGGTTTTGATTAGTGTATATAATATCAGTTCTGTTTTGATGCTTGAGCCCACACTGCATATTAAGAATAATGCATTTCTTTTCTCCAGGCTTATTTGTATGTTACTAGAAGACGTGATCTACAGTGTTGTTCAGCGTTGCGTTGATCCATGTTTCATGGAAGAGAGTGTAAGTTTCAGTTTATTTTTTTTAAAGTGACTGTTAAGATATTATATTACTTTAAAGAAGGTATTCAGTAATATATATGCTACAAATGTTCTGTAAAGATATCCGCTTTCTCTGTCTAACTTCGCTAACAAAACCTCATGCATTTCTCAAAACCTATATCACTGCAAACATTTTAACTACCTGTTCTAATTGGTGCTCGAATGATTGACTCCAAATGGTGGAACATTGTTTGTCTAGTTGGTAGAAGAGTGGTACAGTTGGATGAATATTGTTGGCTTTGAGTAAAACCGAACGTTTTTCACTTTGTACGATTTTATTATTTTACATTATTGGAATGAGTTTGCGAAGTGGTACGCATTCACTCGCCAATATAACTGAGGTTGCCGATTTATATTTAATACATTTAACCGTCTATATTCGTTTTAGTATAGACCCTAGTTTAATCTTTAGTTTTTGATGTACGAGATACAGTATCAAACCATTCTACTTTATTTGAACTAGAGGGAGCAGTGACCTGGTGGTCAAAATATTTGGCTTATAAACACTAGGTCGTAGCTTTAGACCCACTTTATCGACTTCGGTTTGAGCAGTGTAGCAATAGGTCACTAATCCTCATACCTAAAGTTTGGTTCAAGGCTCTGTACATCAATTTGTAATTGTTATGTTTACTAATAATTTTTACAAATATGAACTATTTTCATCATATGGAGTATAGATAGTGGTTATTATTTTTATTGTCCGACAAAGTTAATCATCTTATTCAGTGGGGTCTGTATCATCAATGTAGGATGTTGAGGATAATGTCCTGAATTAAAAAGATACTCTTGTGGTTGTTAAATTTACTGGTCTTCTCGGAATATTTATATTTGGTTAATATATAAATAGTAAGTGGTCATACAGTGTATATTAATTAGCTGAGTTTAAAAATCAGATACAAGGTGCTAAGTTTAGTAACAACAATCAACTTTCAGCACAGACAAACTGAAAATGACCAGGTCAATTTGACTGAGTGCTGTTTGGGATTAACGGATGAAATCTAATAAGCGAATTCTAGGATCAAAATTTAGTTACTCATGAGTAATACATTTACAATAAAAGAATTTCAGGACGATGCTTCGCCTAATTGTACTGAGTATGCAATCAATGACACTTAATCGTTCAACGTCCAGCGCATGTTACTACTCATGGAGGAGCATCAGCCGACCACCAGCACTCTCCACTCAACCCTGCCCTGGGCAATCCTTTCCAGCTCTTTCCAGTTGCTATTCACTCTTTTTATATCTGCTATTTCAGGACGTTATGTGTTTTTTGGTTTTCCACTTTTCCTTTTCACTTCAGGATTCCAAGTTAGGGCTTGCCTCGTGATGCAGTTTGGTGATTTCCGTAATGTATGTCCTATCCACTTCCATCGCCTTCCCGTGATTTTCTCTTCAGCTGGAAGCTTGTTTGTTCTCTCCCACAGTAGGCTGTTGCTGATGGTATCCGGCCAATGGATGTTGAATATCTTGCGCAGACAATTGTTTATAAATACTTGTATATTTTTGATGATGGTTTTAGTAGTTCTCCACGCTTCAGTTCTGTACAGTAGAACTACCTTTACGTTCGTATTGAAGATTCTGATTTTGATGTTAGTTGACAGCTGTTTTGAATTCTATATGTTCTTCAATTGTAGTAATGAGGTCCTTGATTTGCCAATCCTCGCCTTTACGTCTGCATCTGATCCTCCTTGTTCATCGATGATGTTTCCCAGGCGCGTGAAGGATTCCACCTCTTCCAGAGTTTTGCCATCAAGTGTGATTTGGTTGGTGTTCTCTGCGTTGTATTTGAGGATCTTGCTTTTTCCTTTGTATACGTAGAGGCCTACTGATGCAGAAGCTGCTGATACACTAGTTATCTTCATCTTCATTTGTTCGTGTGTATGGGATAGGAGGGCTAGGTGATCTGTGAAGTCCAAATCTTCTAAGTGGTTCTGAGCTGTCGATTGTATTCCGTGCTTTCCGTTTCTTTAGCTTCAGTTTCATCTTTTCCATCCCCAGGTGGTGATCTGAAGCTATATCAGCTCCTCTCTTGGTTCTCACATCTTCCATTGTCCTTCGGAATTTTCTATTGACACAAATATGATCTGTCTGGCTCTCTGTGGTGTGGTCCGGTGAGATCCATGTAGCTTTGTGTATGCGTTTAATTGGGAATATTGTGCCACCTATAACCAATTTGTTGAATGCACGTAGGTTTGCAAATCTCTCCTCAATCTCGTTTCTCTCTCCTAGTCCATATCGTCCCATGATATCTTCATATCCGATGTTGTTCATTCCGACTTTGGCATTTAGATCTCCCATCAGAATGGTGAGGCCTTTTCTTGGGCACTTCTCTGTGATTGACTGCAGCCTCTCATAGAACTGATCTTTATCGTTTTTGTTGCTATCGTTGGTGGATGCATAACATTGGACAATATTCATTGTAATTCCATCCTTCTCTGTTTTGAATGATGCTTTGATGATTCTGGATCTGTGAGATTTCCATCCTACATGTGCATTTCGTGCTACTTTGTAGAGTATTAGAGCAACTGCCTGAGTGTGTGGAGCGTTTCCCTCTTCGTGATCGGAGTATAGCAGCATCTCTCCCGTGTCTATCCTTTGTTGTGCAGCTTGGTTCCCGTTGGTTTCGCTAATTCCCAGTACTGCCAAGTTGTATCTCCTCATTTCCGTTGCTATTTGACTGGTCTTCCCGGTCTTCCTTTATTGTTGGGACGTTTCATGTACCTATAAAAATTGTTGTTCTGGTTGTTAGAAGGGGCATCGATCTCGGCTTTCATCCTGAGGCGTCATGATTCTTCCTTCAACTCCCAGGGCAGAGTTTAAACGGTTTAATTTGTTGAATCTGGTTGACATTTTCTAGCAAGATTTTTTCTACAGGTTGGGGTTGCCGACCTCATGCCCAACCCTCCTCATTTTCCCGGGATCGGCATCGGCAGAATGACACTTAATAGCTTAGTCATTATCTTCCATCATCTGTTAATTTACTCTTAATATCAGATTTTCAGTGTATTTATAATGAAACAATCTATTGATTATGAATATTTTAAAATTTCCATCAGGTTAAGTCAGGTTTTTTTCATGTACTTAATGTTAATCTCCCCTGTGCTTTTGCTCTTGTTTTAGGTTGTCGAAGCGATTTGTGATCGAGCATAAAGTTACTTAATTATTGCTTAATTCTTGATAATAACCGTTTTGTTCTCGAGTTGAAGAAGAAAACAATCAGTGCGTAACTTCTTTTTTTGGTGGTATTTTTTCATCAATGATTGCGGGATATTTTCATCCGTTTATTATTATTATTCTCACCACTATTGAATAATGATCCGTTTTTCTTTTGGTGTAGGAAAAAGTTAAATTTTAAAATTCTAATTGTAAATTATTTGTCATATCGAAATGTTACAAATTCCTGTCTTGTTTTTTTATTTATTATTTTTGTACTGAGAATTGTTTAGCTGTGCTTTCCGATACTTCGATGTGATGCTTTTTGTTTTATAAGTGTTCACTATCTAACTTAATGTTTGATATTAGTTTGAATTTTCGTACATATTTACTAATTTTGTTGTTGTTGATACAATAAACCTTCATGGTCTCACTTTTTTAGTCACTTTTTTGTTTGAGGTTTTCTTTGAACGGCGATTTCTTCGCGAACTTGCTTAAGTATGGTAAGAATATTCGAGTAATTGACATTCAGGTTAAACATATAGATAGTAAATCTGTACCAACTTACACTAAAAACACCATGCTCCCAGGAGTTGGACGGGACAGTGATTAAGTCAGTTTGTAATGCCTACCACCAATGAAATCCATGACAGTTTAATTCTAGTAGATTAGCCTGAGGTACATTGGCAAACATCCTTCTAGACTGAAATAAACTAGTTTCAGAAAAGAATGTAAAATTGTTACAGATCATTATATTCTCAGGGTATTTTATCAAGATGACACGAAGGTAGCAGTTAGATTATTATATGTCTATTATTAATCTTTTTTAACTTAAAAATGCTTCAACCACAAACCAACAAAACCGAAATGCGTTGCCAGAAAATGAACACGCATGCCAATTATTAAATCAAAAATCATGACTTACAAGTATCTCACTTTTCATATTACTATCATGACAATAAGGTAAACCATACTATTAGTAGTTCGCATCTGTAAACGTTTATGTAATATAAAATAATACAGATACAACAGAGCAGTAGTAGTTATATTTTCAATTTTGTTAGAGGAAAGTATTTGTGGAAATAAATATCTGGTCGCTCGGTTAAAGTCTGGTTTATTCTTGCCAATTTTCGTAAAGAAATGCGCTGAATTCAGAGAAGTCAATCATTTGATTACAATTCTTGTCAACACTTTGCATCCAACGATTTAAAGCGTCCTCAGATACACGACGATATCCTAGTTCCCGTAAAACGTTTCTGATTTCATCTAGTGATAATTGTCCTGATCTATCTTGGTCGACTTCATTAAAGGTTCTCCTCCATTGTTCAACACTAAATATTCATAATGTTAAGAATTAGTTTTAAACATTACATAATTGGGATAAATCATTCAGATTCTTTCGAATATCAATTTGTGCAACATTTATGAAAGTACTAGATATTCTTGTATTGATCGGAATAACCAAAACCAATTGTTATTTAAATCCTTTGAAGGATTATACGGTAACAATATTCAGGTCTGCCCGCTGATTATATCAAAACTTCCAGCAGTCAATAAACACTGATGCTAAACTCACTGCTTCATGTTTTTCTACAGCACTGGTTTTTCAAAACTAAGGATTACTTATATACAGTCCTGTTACTTTTGTGTCGTACATCTGTTAATACATGCAATTCGGTAACCATTCATTGGTTCACCCACCGATGTTAATTATTCTACCTAATCATTGGAGTAGTTAAAATAATGAGTTTACTTTAAGTTTGTGGTCTGTAGAACTGGAGTGGCCTGCTTAAAAGTACGAATCTATTTCGATCATCCAAGAAGTGGATTAATTTTAATCTATCGCTATTCAATTAGGAGTAATCGTATAAATATTGTGATTACATGTAATAAAACTAGGTATAATGTTTTAAGTGGGATGCTTGCAAATTCACTCAAATATTTTTCAAATTTTGAACAACTGCTAATCATTAAGCAAGGTGCTAAAAATTATTTCTGTGCTAAATGTTTCTTGTTCTTCCCTCAACGTAACTACAGCGAAGAAAATCATAGGAAATGTCTCCGAAAATTATTAGAATGAAATGTTACTAAATGGAACATTTAATGTCAAAAATTGGTATTATTTAAATTAGAATAATCAATAGATTTTCTAACCTATCGTGATTTAATTTGTTCTTGTTTTAATGTAACATTCCAGTAAACTAGATCAATGTAGACTATGAAGTTGTGATGTCTATTACTTACTCTCTGATAATGAATAAACCTCAGTGACAGATGTTCTCATGTAAAATCATCTGATGAGATCAATATTAAAACATTAAAAACCTGCAAACCATGGACAGCCGTTTCGTTCTAATACAGCACTCTTCAGCGGCGCACTCCGTTTTGAAAGCAGTACCTCCGATCTCAAGCAAACGCTGAACTTCTACACTTATGATTCTACACCTAACGGTGTTAATGTCTGACTTCAACTAATCCACGATGTTTCGCGTCCATCTATTGTCTTCAGCGGGTAACTGCTTCACACCCGACACGGTTGAACTCCACTGGCCTCGGCTTCTCACTGGGACTTCGAGAATCCCCTCTCAAAACAGCCGCCCAGTGCTTCCAAATTTTCATGATCTCAATAAAACCCAACAATCACCACAACCCTATACTGGTAAGATTATAGGTTAGAAGAAAATGAATATCATGTTCTGTACAAAAATGTGACATGATTTGTGAAAATATTTAGACTCTGTTTCAAACCATATTATGTATAATTACTAGTAAATATTAGCTCTACAACAATATTTTGAAATGTTTCACCAATGCGTAAGTATTTTTTTTAGTCTCAATATACCCTGAAACAAATTCAACGAAACACCGATATTGCGAGGAAACATAATGTTTAAAATTGGTCTAATGATTCAACTAGGGTTATTAATATGTCGTTAATTCAACAACACAATAACATTTTTCATATCATCACTTACGAGCTAACGAAAAAAAACTTGCCCTTAATAGATATTGTTACTCAAAATTGTCTCTTACTAGTTACTATCACGGTAACGAGTTGACCGACGCATGATGTTATCAATATTTCTTTATTCTTTACATAATTCATGATCATATGGATATCTAAATCATGTTATTTATTGAGTGACTAGTCACTGAATACTTGCATTCATTATGATTAGCTACCCGAATGGTTGCCCGTTAAAAAAAAAACTAAAACGCTATTTATGTAGTAATCCTAGGCATTAAAAAAGAACTTTTAAAGTTTGTGTGGTTTTTTATGAGTACAAAAATAATAAAATAATGCAATAAAAATTCACTTTCAGTATTTGAGAGGTTGGTTATATGGATTTGTTTTTATGGCGATAACAATTAGATGGTAATAAAGTATTAAATTAATTCCTGTCTGGATTTTAAATTCTTACATATAGATGGATATTTCATTTATATAAAATTATAATTACTTCTTTGTGTAAATGTCATAAAAGATCAGTAAGTTAGTAGTTAGAAACTTTAATTTGAATTTAAATGTCTCTACAATGTAACTATGATTAGGAGTATTTCTTAAGAAAATTAGCTTGACTAATTCAATAGAAACAATGGGTGAAAGTTAAATAAATAGGGATTTATTAGAAATAGATTTTATCAAAATAATTTTAGTTAGCTGAAGTTAGACATAAACACCGTTGGATGCCGGCTCAATGGTTTAAAGGTTAGGCGTTTGCGCTCGAGACTGATAAGATGCGGGTTCGAATCCCCCAGGGGGGGATTGTGCATGCGCACTGCTGAAGAGTCCCACAATAGGACGGAACGGCCGTTCAGTGCTTCCAGGTTTTCCATGGTGGCCTAGCTTCAACTGACTCATGATCTCAACTATTGAAATTTTAATATATACTACGGATATTAGCCGTCATATCGAAACGTTTGTGATCGCATTATCTTACATGTGTGAGAGCGTGGAAGTCCTAATAATCAAACGATATGTCACTTACAATAGATCGTTAGGGGAACTAAAATTGCTCTTCAATCAGGAATAATGTACTAATTTTTAATAAACATTCACAGAAAATATTTAACCTTTGGCAATGTAAGAAATTTACAAATACAGCTATTAATGTTTATGTATTTGAAACTGGAAATAAAAGCGATCAAATGTAACAGAAAATATTTAGTTTAAAACGACTTCCAGTATATATTAAGTAAGGGGTGAAAGAATAAATAGGAGTAATCATTTTGGGTAGTAACACATATTGAGGAATACAATTGAACTTTGTTGCTGACACTTAAAATCACGAATTAACGCTATTCAGTTATTGTCAATTTTTCATGACAATTGTAGAATGCATGTTAACTATACTTTCAAAAATTAATTAACTTTAAATGAATCTGGGTTATGGGATTTATTTATATTTATTATTGAAAATTGCATTTTGTAACATCTACTAATAATTATTCAATGGTTATCTATTTTATTTTTTTTTGTTTTTTTCTCCTAGTTAAACTGTTTTTAATCTTTACATACTATTCATGAACTTTCGGTAATATATTTTTAAATATGGTCTGTTAGTTACTCTTGAATTTACCAAGTTTACATTTGTGTAAATAGCGTTACATTAAAAATAGTAATATTTGAATAAATAATCTTCAACAGATACACCGGTATATATATATATGAGCTGGATGGTAGAATTTTGTGCTGATGACGTCATTCAGAACAACGATTAAAGCTCCACGACAAAACCATCTAGCTCAGAGAACAAAATTCCATCAAAATCACCCATCTGAGTTACAAATCCCCACCATTTCAATATATATATATTATGAAATTACTTGATTTTCGAATAGTTCATTTTTATTTAATTTGCTTTGCATTGATAAACTCTACTAGTGAATAAACATTATTATCTAATGTTTATATAAATAAATACATTTTTTAGAAATAAATTTATTCAATAAGAAGATATTTGTAAAGATTTGTAAACTTGCAAGTCTACAGATTGTAAAATTCTTTTTGATTTTTCAAGCATTGCACATTTATAATAACATGTAACCTACTAATAAGTTAAATTGAATATATTTATGGTTGGTAGTTTGTCTTAATATCTTTACAGGTTATTATAAACCTATTGTGCAAATATTCCGATATTTTCACACACTTTCAGTTGTTTTAACTGGCGAATTGATTTTAATAACTCCAATTATTTACGTGTACCAATCGAAAACATTTAACCTATAGTGATGCTAAATACCAAGAAAAACTTTTATCAATGATACCATAATAATTAGTACAATAATATCCCAAATCTATCTTCTTTTAAAAAGAAATGTAAGTATTTATAAACGTAAGGTCTAATACAAAACTTTATCTAACATAATTCACTTGGTATTGTTTTACTCAAATCTTCCCATTGATGTATAGGACTGAAATTGATCAGTCACTTATTCGCATATGTGCATACTGTGCGTATTGCCTCGATATTGTCTTAATTTACAAATACAAGCAAGTGGCTGTCAGAACTCAGCAACTAAGCGGATGACGCGATGGCGTTTGAAGCGAACGGTACTGGGTTCGAGTCCCAGAGTGAACATGAAATTTGAGATACAGGCACATCCAGCTGACGAGTTCCAAAAAAGACGAAACGCGCGTCCTGGATTCCCCTGTTAGTCACTATCAATCTTTGCTTATAATTTAACTAACATATATATAAATGTAAGTAGAATCAAATTTCATAGTTAACATACGGCAATAAATGTAGGATATTTGATAAATTATCTAAATTAATATCGCTTATTCTTTAATAAAAAATGTGTGGAGATTTACTTACTTACGCCTGTTACTCCCAATGGAGCATAGGCCGTCGACCAGCATTCCTCAACACACTGTCTCGGGCCTTCTTTTCTAGTCCCATACAATTGTTATTCATTTTTCTCATATCTGTCTTCACTTCTCGGCCTATTTTCTCCATTGGTCTTCCGCTATTCATTCATCATTGAGGATTCCATGTGAGCACTTGGCTTGTGACGCGCTTTGGTGATTTCTTCAGTGTGTGCCCTATCCACTTCCACCACTTCTTGATTTCTTCATTCTCTGGAATCTGTTTAGTACTCTCCCACAATAGTATATTGCTGATAATGTCTGGCCGACGTATCCGAATTATTTTGCCTAGTCATCTGTAATTAACACTTGTATCTTCTGGATGATGGCTTTCGTAGTTCTCCAGGTTTCCGCCCCATCCTGTATAACTGTTTTCACATTTGTATTGAAAATTTTGACTTTGATGTTAGGTGACAGGTGTTTTGAATTTCAGATGATCTTCAGTTGCTGATGTGCTGC